CCATAAACTATAGAAAAATCAAAGAAGCCGCTACTTTATAGTAGAAGCGACAACGCCGCTTCGTCTGAAATATTTTAGCCGTGTAAGTCATATTGATTTATGCATACTGTGAAATTTTCAGGTTGATCCGTTGAATAGTTTGTCAGAAACGGGTAATCAACCCTCATCATGAAAAGCCCTGTATACACTGACCTGGCCAAGGCATTCTACAGAGTTAACCACGAGGTTTTGATCCTGAAATTAAAAGCATTCGGTTTCACAAACAATACACTTGATTTCTTTCTTCTTCTTAGCCGCGACACCAACGTGGGATATTGGAACTAATTGCGAATTGTTGATATTTATGACGGTTGTTTTGTCGAGACCGAAATTGACTCTCATTTTCTATAGTTATCCTCATTTCTTGATTTCCTTAAAATTCAACCTGGCATAGTCTGAGCTTCTAAAGTGGGGTTTATTAAAAAAAAAAAGTTTGAAAAAAATTTAATCACGCTGCCCATGCCATACAAAGAAACTGCCAACGTTCGGTAACTATTTAGTTTTTATGCCATTTGAATTGACTTCGTATATACTATGTACTTGAAAATATATCGATATGGCTCCCTATGGAACCCCTACTAGAGTGTTCTGCCTGAGTGGCCCTAAAAATAGCACATGAAGTAATTCCATAACAAGAAATATCAACTTGCGGCAATTTTGCGAGTCAGATTGTTTACAGATGAAAAAGTATTCTAGTCATTTTCTAGAATTTTTCAGCAAAGTTTTTCCCACTGTCAACAGATACTATTTTTGTACGATTATTGCTAGTACCAATCAATATATCACCCCTATGATTTAGTAGTATAGATGTTCTCTCTCCTGCAAAACCACGTAGAAGTTCTCCCAGTAATAACATATCGTGACATCGATAAAACTGTATCCCCATTATAATTTGTAACTTGCCTCGGAACTGAAATAAAAGGTAGAGATATAAGGATTGCAGGGAAACGATTGCTTTGTTATTTAACAAGTTTCCTTCAATATCAGTAAATGAGAAATGTTTCAGTTTGCCTTGAACGGAGTTATTTTTTTCTTACGGCAAATTGTGTTATGTATTGAGAAACTCTGTCATGAATGCTGATTCACTAATAGAAATTATTACAAAATATCTTTTAAGCTTGCGTAAACCCCGAAGAGAACATGATTATTTCATTGTTACCGAATTTAAACTGAATGAATCATCGCATTCGGCAATTTCCAGATTGCGATCTCGCCAAAACTTTAAATAATAAACTTGCAACTTTCGTTTTTAGCTTGAATATAGATTTCATGTATCTTTTATAAAATGCCAACAAAAAAATTGGAAAGGACACTGGTCAAAATGTACTTTATAACATTAAGCTGTTATCACAAAAAATATTTGTATACATTGAAAATAAGGCTCATTGCTAATTTCAGTTTTTTGGATCCTTCATATTTTTTTCAATTTCCAAAACTATACCAGTTCCCTATCGACTCTATTCATGCACTTAGAAAAAAAAACGGTTTTCAAGTTACCATACAGCGGCAGATTTATCAAAATTTCTACTTATAAATAAATNTCCTCAACGAACAACTTGATCTAAATAATAGTCCGCTCCTGAACCTATAACCCAGTTCCCTAAACCTACGTTTCATCACAATTTTGTTATGTTCATCGATATACTGCTATTAATTGAGGTTATCCCAGGTATAGACAATGTAGGTATCAAATTATTTATGATAGGTATAGGTAATACTCAGATTTAAATGTAATCTAGTTAGTTTTGAAGACGGTGTAATGACCGAAACTAATCAACAAATATAAAACGATCATGGAAAAACAAACGTGTGTTTTTAGCTAAATAAAAGACATTACTCTTCACTACTAATGGAAAAATTCTTGTAGATTTATGAAAAATATGATTAATTATGAAAATAAAATTATTACACGCCGCTCATGCCATACAAATAAACTGCCGACGTTCGGTTACTATTTACTTTTCATGCCATTTGAATTGACTTCGTATATACTATACTTCGCCAATTTTTTAAATTACGATTTACTTATGTCAATGAGAAAAAACACTCTTGAGTGTTTAACGACACAGCAAATTTTGGGAAATTCAAATTGAGTGACTATGATTGGCTAATTCAAACGTGAATATAGTATGATGTCATATATTCTCTGATGGCTGTACAGAGCTGTTGTGAATGCATTTTTTGATTGAATACATTTCATCCTGTTCATTTTTCATTGTATACTTTTCAATTAAATTGTAGCAGTGATTCAAATGTTTCATTAATTTGTTATTCCGCACGGTTGCCGAAAAAAGTGTTGGCAACACGTCCAAAAGCAAAATTTTGTCTACTCATCAAAATAAAACCAGTATTTTCCGGACTGTTTTTCAATCCAGTTTTTTGTCCACTTTCACAGCTTATGAAAAATATTCCTTCAGTTCCATTGGAAATATTTCAAAAATGTGTTTTATGAAATTTCCACTTGGGTTTTTTTGAACATAAAATCTTCTAAATGTTCCAACTATTGAAATGGGCAACAGGGCTGATGTAGGGAGTGTATTTTATTCTAGTTGGAATTCATACTGGTTGCTCAAACATTATTCCAACTCACATGAAAGTAAATTGATCATGATCATTGGATTATTTTCGAATTTGAACCGAAGTAACCGCCGCATTCGCCAATTTTTAACATTCGCCATTTTTTTCAAATGAACTAACTCTAAGAACTGTATCCATTTGAAAGGGTATATTTTTAGGAGATAACAACTTTGGGGAATGAAAGTTTTCAGCCTTCTACTTCACTATCTGAATACAAAAAATGTGGGAATTTTCCAAAGAAAGGAAGGAATCAGTTTCAAAAAATTAACTCCTTACAAACATTGAATTTCACGAAAAAATATTACTTTCAAAACAAATACTCCAATATGAACACAGCATTATATGATAAAACACTTTCCTCTATTCCGTTTGTATTCCAAATATTCGTAATGCAATCGAATCAGATATCATTCACAGGATTCCTAAACTGTATAATAAATGATAGAAGTAAAATTTCACTCACATAGTACCATAGTTTCTAGTACCAAACACGGATTACATTATAAAAAAAACACTCCATTCATAAAACTACGACTTTTTGTCACGGAATGAGTTGAATCCACCCATGTCATCGATGACAATACGTAAATTATATTCATTCGCTTATTTGATCAAATCCCATCCATAGAAATCTTGTTTACATTTTTTGAAAAAAAAGGTTTTTGGCTTTCTGCTATAACTTGATACAAAAAATGTGAAATCTCAATCAATTTAAAAAATATAACTCTAAACAAAGGTGTGTAGATAATGCGAAGAAGTAACCTTAGACACAAACTGGAAGAAAAAGCTCTTTCGAAATAACTATTTTCATATAAACATATAAACTTTTAAATGAACGCTAAATAAATATAAATACACCAAGATCTTTTTCATGGAACCCATTTTGAACAGTGAAGTTGCTGGGGTAATATCTGATCTGAAAAACTCAAACTCGTTTGATGCATAGGAACTTCATAGTAGAATTGTCAAAGAAACGGCCTCGTATCTAATTGAATCGCTTGCAATTGAAAATTAGCGGCCAATGTCGATAGTCCCAATTTCCGGCAAATTATTTGAAATCATCCTGAAAAATAGGCTCTATGAGAATTTTCATAAGTGCAAGCTATTCAACACTAATCAATTCGGATTTAGGAAATCATCCTCCACAATAAGTGCGGTAAAGAAAGTAATCGAAAACATAATAACTTGCTTCGAAAAAGGAGAATACACTATTGCTGCTTTATGTGATCTAACAAAAGCATTCGATTGCGTCTTCCATTCTATTCTTCTGGAAAAATTAGATGACTATGGCATAAGAGGAACCGCCCTGTCTCTTTTTTCTTCATATCTGACAAACAGATACCAATATGTGTCATTTGACACATATTGGTCATATAAATCAAATTCAAAAGAATGCTGACATGTGGTTCAAAAGAAATAGTTTAATGTTGAACAAAAATAAAACTCAACACATCATTTTTACATCAAACACTTCTTGGGTTGAAGGACACAGTGTTAAACTCTTAGACATACATCGAGATGATAATTTGAACTGGTTAGAGCACATTGAACAACTTAGCATTAAACTGTCGAAATACACATTTTTTCTTCGGAAATTGAAAGATAAAATCTCTCAACAGGCGCTATTATCAGCTTACTAGGCTTTTTTTTTATTCTCACATCTCATATGGAACAATTCTCTGGGGAAATAGTACTAACGCAAATAGGATATTTATGCTACAAAAAAAGGCCGTGGGGATATTATCTGGGGCTAGTTTATTAGACTCCTGTAGACCTCATTTCCTTTCGATGAAAATAATGACAGTACCTTCTATTTATCTGTATCAACTTTTGATAGATATTCATAAAAATGAATCAACATTAATCATAAATTGTGATTTCCACCATCATGAGACTAGAGGATGTGATTTGTTGAGGGCCAGTAGATTCAGACTGAAAAAGTCAAGCAGAAACTGTAACGATGTCAACTTATACAATATTCTACCTCCCCATGTCAAAAAGTTAATAAATCAATACTTGTTCAAAAAGTATCTAAAATATATTTTGATTTCAAATTGTGTTTATTCTACTGACGAGCATATAGCTGTATCATCCAGAGAAACACAAATAAACGACGAAACAGTGCAATATTCATTCTTGGGTAATAATGTATGTGTGTATATGTGACTTTTCTTATTTGTATACATCTAAAAGATCAATGAATTATCTTATCTAAAATTATTACAATTGAAAAATATCAAAGAAAAGAAAAAATTTACAACAATGTTTTCAATAAAACAAAACAATTTCAAAATTGATTGACATAAATCGTAATTATACATCGTGGTATACCGAAAAATTAGAATTTGTATGCAAAATACTCTTCCAAACTGTACAAGTACTTTCCTAAAACAAGATTCTTTACTGATTCTCTAAATTTTAATTCATTAATTGATGTATAATGTTTTGGTGACTATATATTTGTGTACTTATATAGATTTGAGATTTCCCTGTCAAAGATGATGTGGGCAGTGGAAGGGCAAGTTTTTAATCGCTACGCGTAGACCTTTCTGTATAGCTTTCAAACTTTTCTTTATGTTTGTGAAGTAAGCAGACAGTCTCTAGAATAAATATTTCAGATATTGTTAATATTCCATTTCTACAGAAAAGTGACCTACACTAGTCACGCATCTTCTTGTTAAATATCATTCTCAAAGCTCTTTTCTGGATAACGAATATACTCTTCATCAAAATCTGGCTGCCTGAGCCCCAGAAAGAAAGTCCATACCGGAGATGACTCTCCTTAAGTGAATAGTATACATTTATTGCTGCTGAAAATCCGAGTTCACGAGATATGACATTTATGGCAAAGCAACCAGAAGATTTCTTTTTCAAAGCAGTAATTTGCGTATCAAATTTCAAACTACTGTCAATGAATATACCAAGAAATTCAGTTACAGGCTTACTTTCAATCATGTGTTCACCTACTATTACTTGTTCTAAGTCCCACTTGAATGTTATCAGATTTGTTTGAGAAACAATTAGCGAGAGCATATTCGATTCACATCATTTTTTTATTTTTTCTAAATCTGAGTGGACAGACCGAGTCAAAGTATCAGGATCTTTATTGCGCCAAAGTACCGTAGTGTCATCCGCAAACAAGGTAAATGCTCCATATTTAAAAAGTTTTGCCATATCGTTAATATATAGCAATAATTCACACTGTATCGCAATTTTTCCCAATATTCTTTGAATATCATCACAAACAAATAGCAACGACGGAAGATATCAACTTACCGACGGATTCGGCATACAACGTCTCGTCATCGGCTCCGGACTCCGGTAAGTAGGCGAATACCTTCCCGCAAAACAAGCTCCAGATGAGGTGATAGGCCCGTGGAGACCCGTGGGCCCCTTTGACCCCATCATCTTGTCGGGCGAGTACATGGCGACAGTCCAGAATAGTTATTTGAACTCACAACATGTCATTTTATTTCGCAAACGAACAGTAAGCGAGTTTTTACATAGTTCAAAAAAACGCACACGAAATCTAAAAATTCTTGTCGCGGCGGAGAGCTGAGATATTGAGAACCAGCGATAAGAACCTTATTATTACTATTGAATTGTTAATTTATGCTGGTGTTGCCGCGTTTTTGCTGAAACAATTCACCCCAAAAGGTCTAAGGGTTGACTGAAGGCGAACTAGCGTCTGCCATTGGAGTTTTGTGAGAATTCGAGGGGTTGAACGGGAAGCGCATGCGTCAAGCGTCGGGACGCCCGCCCCTGCTTCTACATCCGACGCCGCATTCGCTTCTAACAAATTAGTGGCATTTTGATGGTGTATAGATTTTTGAATTGTTACCGAAAAGGGTAATAATCGGTTTAGCGGAGATGGCAGAAATTGTCGATAGATGAATGATATCGTACGTTTCCTGGAAAATAATCAATGCTGTGAATGTTGTGTTGTGATTGGGTGCGTTCAATATTCTTTATAATGATAGGTCTTTATCTCTCATAATTAGTAATGTTTTAGAAAAATTACAATAAGTCAACTCATTCTATGGTTATAACTGGAGTTTTCTTTCAACACCAAACCGTTATTTCAACACTTCGACACGTGTTTCGATCACCAAGTGATCATCTTCAAGAGGAATATCAAACTAATCTTACTTACCGTTATAACCCAACCAGCAAAGTTGTTTTATAATTTCATGATGCTGCAACAGTTTCATTTTATTATTATTTAATTATTACTTCCAAAATGCTAATTGATTATATTAGAGTACCCATGAACACAATACAGTTGTAGGCAATAAAAGTGTTATATAAATTTGTCATATTATCAACATAGGTGGTCAATAAATGTCTGGGGAGGTATCATTGGAGAATATGTAATTGGTCCATACTTTTTTGAGGGACATATGAATGGAACAATGTATCTCAATAATTTACCAGGTGTGTTAGAAGATATTCCTCTTGATCTTCGCAATAGAATGTGGTTACGTTACAACATGATGGTGCACCTGCTCACTATTCGGTAGACGTGAGAGATCATTTGAATGGAGTAATTCCCAATAAATGGATAGGACGGAATGGGTCTGTACGGTGGCCCGCTAGATCACCAGATTTTTTCTGGATGTCGAGCCGCCAACTTCGTTCTAGCCATAGGAAATACTCAATGAAATTTGTAGAGATTTCGTTGGCGCTCCTTATGAATCAATAATATACAGGAAGTTTCAATTAAAATAAGGAAGATTCTGCAAATTTTCATTTACAATATGTGGCAAGCGGTTTTGCATACCCTGTATATCACAGGTTGATTTCAAATATATCGTTTGAGAGAGTTACTACAGTATAATATTCGACCGAAAACAAAAATTCAATGGGATTTGTCACAACTTTATAATTTCAAATATTCTGAGTGACGAATGTTGGAAAAAAAACCTGTCATGCTAGATATCTCGAGAACTGTCAATATTTTCGAAGTGGAGATATACATAAAGTGCCTTTTATTTTCTATGTAGAAATCGAAAAGGTGATAAAAAATTTAGGTTGCTTTTTAAAAAAACACAGTTGGGATCCGCCCAGAAAAAATCGAACACCCTGTGTGACCGCCAATATTTTTATTTTGTCGAGCTCGAGCGATAAGGCAATATTATAGAAATTAAGAATCCTATCTGTTTCCTAAATAGAGATATGGAACACCGCGACACTGTTGCGGGACCCTGTATATAGAGATTTATCAAAGTTAAAATTTTGCTCCTAATGAAAGCTTCTCTGTAGCTATCGTTTATTTTTTTCATCTTATAGATATACCTAATACATTTTTTGTAGTATGAGTATCCTAGAGATATCAACAGAGTTTCCCCAGAATATAATTCCATATTTTATCCTAGATTGAATATAAGCATGGTATGCAGAGAGGGCAGCTTCGGTTGAGACATGTTCCGACAGTATTCTCAATGCATAGCAATATTTT